CCCCCCCCCCCCCCCCCCCGCTGTATTCCTCAAAATAACGACTCACTAGCCTCAACCGTTTCATCTTTACTATTTATTGAAGCTCATGCTGTTGCGGGGGTAGAGGCATGTACAAGTATAACAGCAGATGTTCTGGACACCAAAGTGGAACGCCTCGCCGTCACACTCTATGAAGGACACGTTGGACCCCTCTGAAAATGATTTTTTATTAGCTTTTCCTCAAGTTTCTCCAAACTATGATACGTTAATCGGTGTTTTTGGTGGTTTATTGTGTGTGCGTCCGAAGTACTCTGTTTCCTTATTGGTGTAATGTTAAGACTATAATTACAGAAGTTAAAATTGAGTAGGTGTAATCTAAATTAGTAGTTATCCCATTTCATTGAAAAAACAAGAGGTAATTCATACGACACTCTACTGAGCCCAAAACAAAGAAGAATTTTCTGTACAAGTTTTCGAAACCTTATTCGACTAAACTTGCATATATTTTCAAGTTTATAAACAATGATACTGGCAACGGACAACTAATTAAGCACGTGGGATAGAGGGAGTTTAACCACCACCTCCATAATCTTCTATATAAAGGATTATGGATCTGTAACCCTAGTTATAAACCATAAAGCTTTACCCACTCATATCTTCTTGTCTCTTTCCTCATTCCGGAGATATTTAGTCATCCCAAGGCTCTGGCGGAGATTCTTCATCTTTTACTAATAACAACATAGGATCTACTGGACCACCTTGCTGGTGTGGGAAACCAACTAAGCTTTTCAAAGCGTGGACCGACGAAAATCCAGGGAGACGATTTTACCGGTGCGCTACTCACGGGTTCTCGTCTTGGTTTGATGAAGCCGAGCCACATGGTTGGCAGAAGATAAGTCTTCTGGAGGCTCGGGAGCAGATCCTAATCCAAACTTTGCAATCAGAACTTGGTGTTCTTAAGCAGCAAAAGACATCAAATCTGCCATCGTTGGCAGATAATTTTGTAACAAATCAGGCAGAGGAGCACCATTCAGGGGATAACCACCAATTACAGACAGAGGCAGTAAAGGCGAGAGAGAGCGAGAGAATGTTACGACAAGTTCTTCTAATATCTTGGGGAGGGTTTCTTGCCGCAACGGCTATCATCATAACAATGTCTAACAATTAATTTACTTCTTCTGTCGCTTGTTCTTTTCTCTCTAATTATCCTTCGAGTTACCTCTTTTTAGCAAGAAATTAATGTCAGTGTGGTAATCCATGTTGTTCTATACCGTTTCCGATTGGAACTAATATGGTTTAATATCACAAAGTTATGTACATCAAACATCGTTTACATTTTATCTGCTTGTTAATTTTAACAAACTTTGTGCATTTCAAGAAACTAGGATATGTGAATTTATAGAGTGCTACCATAAAATTTGGAAGCCTTAATTTTAGAGGTTACCGGATCATGGATTTTGTTAAACTTTACTGTAGTGCCCTTATATGAATAACGTAGAGCTAAAATATCCCCAGGGATGACTCTTAATGTTATATGTCAAACAAAATAACTCTAAATATTTGCACATGGGTTCACTGATCCATAGGGGGCTTTTGTTTAGTTTTGAACGCCACGATGGGAGGATTTGACTTAGGATTTTCCTATGGTTTAATATCACAAATTTATGTACATCGAACATCGTTTACATCTTATCTGCTTGTTAATTTTAACAAACTTTGTGCATTTCAAGAAACTAGGATATGTGAATTAGTAGAGTGCTAACATAATATTTGGAAGCCTCATCTTTAGAGGTAACGGGATCATAGATTTTGTTAAACTTTACTGTAGTGCCCTTATATGAAAAAATTAGAGCTACAGTATCATCTTTTGTTTCTTAATATTATACGTAAAAAAAATAGCTCTAAATATTTTCCCATGGGTTCACTGATCCATAGGGGGTTTTTGTTTAGTTTTGATCGCTGGGAGGGGGAGGATTTGACTTAGGATTTTCATTAAATCATATATTATGTTAGCCATCTAGTAATTGTGTTAACCCTAAACCAGCACCCTAAACCATTTAATGAAAATCCTAAGTCAAATCCTCCCCCTCCCGGCAATCAAAACTAAACAAAAACCCCCCTATGGATCAGTGAACCCATGGGAAAATATTTAGAGCTATTTTGTTTGACGTATAAAATTAAGAAACAAAAGAGGATATTGTAGCTCTAATTTTTTCATATAAGGGCACTACAGTAAAGTTTAACAAAATAATTACTATATGGCTAACATAATATATGGATGGAAATTGTTAGGAGGTAACCGTCCAATCTACTTTGGTACACTTGTATTTGTACATGTTGACGAAATGACAAGTACCAGTGTATGAGCTAACTATTATCATATTAGTGTTTAGGGACCAGGATTTAACGTTTACGGATGGGGTTTAGGGTTTATGGGTTAAGGGTGTAGGGTTTAGGGTTCACAGTTCAGTATTAAATATTTCGGTTTACTATTTAGAGTTAACATAATTAATAGAGGACTAACATAATCTTTGGATGCCCATAATTAGGAGTTAACCGGCTAATTGACTTTGTAAAACTTAGTTTTGTAATAGAACTAATATGTTTTAATATCACAAAGCTATGAACATCGAACATCTTATCTGCTTGTTAATTTTAATAAACATTGTGCATTTCAATAAACTAGGATATGTGAATTAGTAGAGTGCTAACATAATGGTTTTGGAAGCCTTAACTTTAGAGGTAACTGGATCATAGATTTTGTTAAACTTTATTTTAGTGCCCTTATATTAAAAAATTAGAGCTACAGTATCCTCTTTTGTTTCTTAATTTTATATGTCAAACAAAATAACTCTAAATATTTTCCCATGGTTTCACTGATCCATAGGGGGATTTTTGTTTAGTTTAAATCGCCGGGAGGAGGAGGATTTGACTTAGGATTTTCATTAAATTATTTAGGGTGTTGGTTTAGGGTTAATACAATTACTAGATGGCTAACATAAAATTTGGATTGAAATTGTTAGGTTGGAACCATCTCATCTACTTTGCCACATTTATATTTGTACAAGTTGACGAAAAGACAAGTACTTGGTGTTTGAGCTAACTATTATCATATTGGGTTTAGGGACCATGATTTAACGTTTACGGATGGGGTTTAGGGTTTACGGGTTAAGGGTTTAGGGTTCACGGTTCAGTATTAAATATTTTTTTTTACTTTTTAGAGTTAACATAATTAATAGAGGACTAACACAATATTTGGATGCCAATAATTAGGAGGTAACTGGCTAATTGACTTTGTTAATCTTAGTTTTGTAATAGAAATAATATGTTTTAATATCACAAAGCTATAAACATCGAATAGAGGTAACTGGATATTTGGAAGCCTTAACTTTTGAGGTAACTGGATCATAGATTTTGTTAAATTTTATTGTAGTGACCTTATAAGGAAAAATTAGAACTACAATATCCTCCTTTGTTTCTTAATTTTATATGTCAAACAAAATATTTGCCCATGGGTTGACTGATCGATATGGAGGGTTTTTGTTTAGTTTTGATCGTCGGGAGGGGGAGGATTTGACTTAGTATTTTCATTAAATGATTTAGGGTGTTGGTTTAGGGTTAAAACAATTACTAGAGGGATAACATAATATTTGGATGGAAATTGTTACCATCAAAAGATAAAATTGGAGAGAATGGAGAGGAAGTACCAAATTATAAAAGGACAACGGTTTCATAAATATATTCACGGTTAAAAGAAGGTTTATCCCACAAAATCCAACAGCAAACACAAACCCCAAAATAACCACATACATGATGTCCCATACACCTATTGACCAATAAACTTACTTAGCCGAAGAAACAACCAGCACACACGGTTATAGAGATGTTTAACCCCACAAAATAGGACGTTCCTGGTTAAACTTTACGATAACCGTTAAAAAAAACTTCCCCCCGTAAGGAAACTTTCCTTCAACAACAAGTACAAACCATTAATATAATACAAGCGTTTTATTACTCTCCAAACAACAGTTATTACCATCCACACTCAGTGTAGCTACCCAAGCAAGAACTCTCCTTGGGCTCCTTCTTAGGCCTCATCAATGGTGGGGACTCCTTCTGTGTTTTTGGAACTCCTGACTCAGTGGAGGGGAGGCTCGATGAAGGAGATACAGATACAGGTGCAATATCTTCGCGAGCCTGTCTATCCGAACCTGTCCAGTAGGAAGCAATGAAACTATCAAAAGAAATTTGAGGAAAGAGAATGTAGCAATGCATTGAGTCTGGCTAACCAAAGCTGTCCAGTAGAAAGCAATGAAACTATCAAAAGAAATTTACCTTCATTGTTTGCGGGAGCATTATTGTTTTGTTGGACATGAACAACCAATTCTGTTGATAAGGAAAAGAATTAGAAAAAATGTGTATAATCTCGCAGAGTAAACTGCATTTGTACATTTCTGGAAATCCTTCTTACCTTCATTAATCGCAGATGCAGCCTGGTTTCCTTGTAAACCAGAATTTTTAAAGTTAACTTCTCCTAAATCTCTAATTTCCGTAGAAGCTATGCCACCATATATAGGCAACTCAATCGCAGTAGACCCTGTAGAAGAACCTGCTCCTTTTTCAACTGCTCCTTTTTCAACATCCACCTTACCTCCAGTATTGGGTTTTGCGTCAGCGTTATCACCCCAAGCTGCATATGCCTCCATCTCCTCAGCTGCTTTAGCCTCCTCCTCTTCTATTCAATTCCTCCAGAACTCAGTTTCATTTAGCTCGGGCTCATCCTCCCTATCACAGTCAATGAAAGCTGGATACGCGGACAGGTCTACACCCACATCCCAGAGAACATAAGGTGCTTGAGAAGCATTGACTGGGACTACTTGGTCTTCAGCAGCATATCTCGTACTTGGGCCTCCTAAACATTTTTAGTTTAATTTCTTAAATTCTTATCCGTATCAGGCCAAGTATTTATATTACAGATGATATAATTGTCTCTCACCAACAACAATTGTGGCTTGTGTGCTTTGAACTCCGTTGTTACCAACATCAACCATGTCGTCGTCATCGTCAATGAGTATTACCTCAATACGCTGCTGGACGCCAGTTACAGTATGGATATCTAAACCCCTGTCAACACTTCCCAGCTCCAGCGCAACTCGGTAGAGGAGTTGCATCTCATGTTCTCCAAATATCTCCCACATAACAGTAGCACTCGTCAGAAGCCTTTCACCAAAAACCATACCTAGTTCAAATTTAATAGACAAAACAAATCTTCGTTTTAAGGTTCGAATATATTTTTATAAAAACAAAACAAATCTTTGTTTTACACACCTTCAAATATGGCCCTTGCTCTGCCATCCTGCGTACCATCTACAATATATGTCGTTGCACCTATAGAGAAGTTTGAACGGCAGAGGAAGTTATACTCTGCCACGCTCCTAGCACCAATAGTAGCGAGTAATGTAACATCCATTAGCCATGTCCTCTCCTTTAACAGACGCTGAAGATCATCAGAGTTGGAAATTGTCGTCGGAGGTATGTTTCTATGAGGGAAGAGCATCCACTCAGGTAATCTATAGGTGATAACGACCGGAGTTTCCTCAGCTAGACCATAAACTTCTGTAATAGCTCCTAGGATGACTGCATAGTTTCCATCTTCCTCAACATACATGGTCCAGCCGACATCTTCAGGTGTGGGGAGAAAATTCCAGTGATCATTGCGGTTTTTCTTCCAATCCCCACGAAACACTCGAAAAAGTCTACCCATCTCCTGTGGTTCATAGTGAAGTTAGTATTTTCCAACAGATAGTTTGTAGAGTTTCAACACAACTTTGGTGTCAACATAAAGCTTACAAATCAAAAACCATGCTTAAGATACTCAATATTAGGAGAAGTTAACTAGTATAAAATGAGACAGTCGTATTAATGTTCAATCATTTACAACTTAAAGAATTCAATGCGAAATAAGGAACAATGGCGCAAGGAGAATAAGTAACGTATGACAACGACTTACAGTTAGGAAATTGAATTCAGCGGTATTGAGATGCCTTAATACAGAGTAATTAATCACCTTCTTCTTAGCCTCTATTTTATCTCTCAGTTTTTGCAAGTAAAATCCCAACCCGTTTCCTGAATTTTATAGACTCCCCAAAGGTCAAGAACTGTGAAAATCTGTACTTACAAATTCACTGTAAATAGAGGAGGCAGCTTAAGAGATGTTTACTCGGTTTTGGCATGCGCCGTTTGGGTCAGGAATTGTGTGGACGGGAACTTATCTCTAGTCACTGTTTATTTTTGGTTTCCGATGAAATCCTGTAGAATCTCAATAATATCTTCACAAAATCTCAACAAAATCTAAATAAAATCCTACACATTAAAACCCTACGCACCTAAACCGTATGAACTCAGATTTGCAAGTAGCAAGGGCCTATGCGTCATTATCTAGGAGTTTGTCATTTACGCCTACTGTTATTAGGCATGGCAGATGGTTAGTTTTGGGCTTTGTTAATGGTTTTACACACAATTTGGGCGTATTATTATCTGTCCAGTATGTACAATAGCTTGCCATTGTTATAATTAGCTGTTCACTTTACAAATGGTAGACATCTCTGTCCGACGTTGCAAATCATCAGTAATCAAGACAACGACTTAGATTTTAGGGTTTAAGTGTTTAGCATTTATGTCCAGAGTTGGATTTTATGGTTTAATGTTTACAGTTGGGGTTTAGGGTTTGGCATTTCCGATATTGTGCCTTGTAACAAGTATATACTTGTGTGACCATAGTTGCAATCACAAATGATATAGTAAACCAACGTGGAAATCAACTAACAAACCTGTTAACCGTCTATATCATTTTGTGGATGTTACTTTAATAATAATAGCCAGATGCGTGTGATGATTACACTTATCATATAATAATATCTTCGTTCCTCTTTGTGATGCCTGAAAATTTATGATAGATATTGCAAAACCTAAGGAGAGACTTTTATTTATCATTATTCAACGCTATATCCAAATCCCCTACATACCCAAGACGTCGACAATGCATCTATTTTATGTTACCCAACATTTATTGTCCATCCATCAACAACCCTTCATTCCATACATGTCAGCCTTTGCGTTAGGATCCCCCTATGCTGCATTAGATAATAGAGACTTATATAGCGTTCTTGCAAGTCACTTTGTTGTGTCCAAGCGCCTTACACCTGTTGCAAGCCATCCTTCTACGAATTGACTTGACGTAGTTCATATAGGGAGTTGGAAAATAAGTTAAGAGGTTTCTGAAGATATTTAAAGAGTAACTTATTACATACCAATTTCTCACCACGAGAAAAGTAACCTAGCTTCTTTGACCTTCCAGGAGGGCGACGAGTTGCGGGTGGGGACAATCTAGGTCCCGAGAACGATGTTGCAGAGACAGAGAGTGAGGTATAATCTGTGACGGGAGCTATACTTCCTTCATAAGCACCTCTGAGGAACGTGACCTTTTATGCTTCAGTTACCAGCGTATCGACTTCAATATTGGCTGTCAATGCTGCAGATATGGCGTGGGAACATGGAATTGACAGCATTTGGAACTCAAAACAACTGCAACTGTGTGTCCTTATGTTGACATGAAAGCTACCTCCCTTCCTCGTTCGCACTTCATATTCTTTGTCAGCAATTTCTATAACTTCATACCCGCCAGTTAACTCAAAGTTCCTTGTAACAATTGCGAGAACCCGAGGGCTCAAAACGTCAGTGCTCTTATTTGATGCATCACGCCTTGTCGCAAACCAACTCATCAGTTTAGCTCTAATAAAATCTACCAACGGGATTATAGGGAATTCCCTGGCCTCACGCAAGACAGAGTTCCAAGACTCGGCCAAATTGCTCGTCATGATATTGTATCGGTTACCGTTGAAATGGGAACGAGCCCACTGCTGGAATGCTATCTCCATAAGGTAGGTCGCACATGCTGGAGACATTTGTTTAATCTAATTAAATGTTTTGTTGAAATCCTCCAAGTGATAGGCACGGGCTGCTTTGGCAGCAAGATATCCTAAGTGCCGCCCTTTAAAGTTGGACCTTATGTTCCTCTTAAGGTGGACAACACATACACAGTGGCTGGCGTTCGGGAAAACCTGAAAACAACGTCGGATCATCAGCTGCTTAACTACGTAAAAGGATAAGTTAAAATCTACATCTCCATATTTTGTTATACACGGATATTTAAAATATAAACCTTGGTGACGCCCTTGTATATGGATGGATGCCTATCAGACACAACCACGAGCCCGACTTCATTAGTAAAGAAAGATGAAAGTTGATGGAAAAACCATTCCCATGACATGTCGTTCTCGCTATCTACAATGGCAAAAGCCAATGAATAAATCTGATAATTACCATCTTGTGCCGAAGCTGTTAGCAAACACCCAGCATACTTCCATTTCAAGTGTGTTCTGTCAACCACAACCAATTTTCGCATGAACTTATATCCCCTCACGCAGGCTCCCATAGTCAGAAACATGTATTTGAAACGCTGACCTCCCTGATCATTGGTTTCAGTGTACAAATGAGTAACGGTACCAGGATTAGCCGTTACAAGGGCATGTAGATAGTAAGGGAGCTGGACATATGAAGCATTGCACGACTCCTGACAGTTGTTAACAGCCAACTCACGGGATTTCCAGGCCTTCCAGTAGGAGATACTGAAATTGTGGTTACCGCACATCATACGTCTGATTTCCTTAGGTTTTGGTCCAGCCCCGGCACCCGCAAATTTGGTCTTCATTATCTCTCCAACGACAGCGGCTGTGGCCTGATTTTTTTAACCTGAACGTACGTTAATTGAACAAGAATGCTGACACACAAACGTCCTCACTTCAAATATGTCACAATCTTTGAGCCGGGCAGCATAAACACGCCACGGACAACCCGGCCCCTGACAGACAAGGATCACCGATCTTGGATCAGATTTTGGACTTCTGAAGGAAAACTTATGCTCAATTGCATACAAAGCCATGTGATGTTTGAAAGCTTCTTTGTCTAGGAACATCATTCTCACAGCCAGTTCAACCCCATTATCACATATCTCACATGCTAAACAGTAAAAAAATTATCAGTTGGGGGGGGGGGTGCTCCGATGATCAGATTTCTCACAACTATTATGCGAAGGTGTGAGGGAGTAAACTATAAAAAATTTAAGATTAAACCTAATCATCTAATTGATACATCTTACATCCTCTGTCATCTATAAGTTACACTTAGCCGATTAATTTGAAACCAGACCGGTTACACAAAATTTTAACCACCATAAACTAACTATTGTTAAATTTTATGTTAACCGGTTTTCAAATCTGTATCAGACAAAATCTATATCAATACTAGCTCATATGAACCGCTTTAATCACATAGATTATAAATGTACACAAAAAAAAATTATGCAAGCAGCTAAACAGAATCACATTTTTTTCATTAATACATGACCGGTTACATAAAAGTTTGACCAACAGAAACGTGCAACCCAACCCAATGTCAAACCTAACCATCTATTACAGACTTCTTCCATCCATAAGCATATATAAGTCATACCTACCCGATTATCTTGCAAACCTAACCGGTTACACAAAAGTTTAACCACCATGAAACCAACATTGGTTAAACTTTATGTTAACCGGTTAACCAAAAACAAACCATCACCTAACCAAAAACAACCCATCACCGCAACAACACACAACGTAAACATTAATATATTACAACTTGGAAAAACGCTTAAACCCATTCATATCATCACCAACCCTCGGTGAGGCTACCGTCCGATGAAGTCTCCACAGCTTTCTCACTCTTCATCTTTGTTGGTACTGCCTCCTTCGTTCCGGGAACTTGAGCAGGCGTGCATGGTATGCTCTGTGGGAAAGGAACTGTTTGTGAGGTCAAACTGTGCAGAGTCTCAGTAACTTCAACGGAGCCTACGACAAGGTGTTCAGCAGTAACTACACACAATCAAGGCAATAAAACTTACTATCGTTAAATAACAAATAATCAACTATCATCTACGATAAAAAAAAAAATTTGGTCATCCATGACACCATTTCTAACCTCCTTTGCTTGCAGAACCACCAAGGATTGGTTCTCCACCACTAAGCTTCGAGTTAACTTCCCCGACGTCGCTTGCCTGTCCGGAAGTTGTTCCAAGATATTGAGAGCAAACAATAGCAATAGAGCCTGTAGAAGATTCAGCTCCTTTGTCAACAGCCACACCCTCTGCAGTTGGCATTTTAGTCCCTTTTTCAACGCATTCCTCATTCAAGTCCAATATCTCAGTTGCTTTAGCCTCCTCTTCCATTAAATCTCTCCAGAAATCCATACCATTTGGCTCTGTACCAAGCTCCCTATCTGTTTCTATGAAATCCGGATAGTTGACTAAGTCTATCCCGACGTCCCAGAGAACAGATGGAGATTCGGAGACATTGTTTGGAACCTCTTGCTCTTGAGCTGCAGTGCTTGTACTTGCCTCCCCTATTCAGAACACGAATAAAACGGTTAACATAAGTTAGAGCCGGTCACACCAAAATAACTACGGTTCTGTTATTATTTTTCATTCCAATCTTAAATTTATGATTGTATGGAAGCAAAATTTGAGGACGGTGTACAAAAAAATCTTACCGACTGTGTTCAGTTCTGTACTCCCATGTTACCGACATCAACCATCTCCTTGTCATCCTCGATGGTTATAATGTCCAAACCATGCTCAACCGAAGTTACTGACTGAAAACCCACACCCTT